CCTGGAGACAGCAGATGGAAAGCACGTTGGAGCCAGGTGACAGCTTGGCAGGCAGATGGCAGAAAGGAGGCTGGAAACTGTTCCCAGCGCAGTCCTCGTCTAGATTTGCAAGAGCCTCTCTCCCACCGTGTACCCAAGAAAAGAGGGAAATCACACCGACACAGGATGGTGTTAGATTCAGGTGGGTAGCCGTGCTGGTTTGAAGCAACAGAAGAAAGTTTTGAGTCCAGATACCCAGAATTAAACGTTGTTGGTCTTAAAGGTGCCACTGGACTCAAACAGGAGGGTGTGCGTGTCTGTTGAGCATGGCAAGGGAGTTACACATCAGGGACTCCGAGACCTCAAGGCACAAGACAGGAGAGAAAGACGGGTCCAGTTTATCCTAGAACTCCTCTTCACCCCGGGAAAAACATGCACATAAAGAAACAGCAATGAGAAAGATTAAAACATACTTAGTTCTGGGAAGACCTCAACCCCCCACCCCCGCCCCACCAAAAACCCACATGATGAAACCTCAGATCTTCGATGTGGCCATCTGTGCATTCACACCCATGGGATCTAGTATGCACGCGCTAGATCAATCGGCATTGTAGCGAGCTCTTAACAGATTTTCGCACCCAGACCTCGGGCATGCGCAGGAACCCCACCACGCATGCCCAGAGGGGTGGGTGCAGACATCCCGCCAGACTTTTTTCTTAGTCTTTCTTTGTTTGTTCTTTTAAAAAAAATTATAAAATTGTTTTTTGTTGAGGGGGGAGTCACCGGTTTAACTCAGTTTGGCCTTTGGGCTCCCCCCCCCCAAAAAAAACCCTTCTTTCTTCTCCGTTTTTTAATTTTTATGGAGAAGAAGTGGGGCTTTTTCAACCGCTGCAAGGGTTGCGGCAGTAAACTCGCTCCACCTGACCACCATACCCTCTGTATTTTTTGTTTGGGGGAGTCTAACCAACCTGAGTCTTGTCGGTACTGTGCTAGGTTTTCGAACCAGACAAGAAAAAATTGAGCTGCGCGCCTTAAAGTGGCACTACTTGAATCGGCGTTACATCCTCCCTCAGTAATGGATTTCGAGAGACCATCAACATCGACGGCTCCGGCACTGAGGCCCTCCTCCGACATCGGCCAACCGACGTCAAAGCCACTGGCATCGAAAGCGCAATCCTCCGCTTCCACTCCAGTGAAGAAGAAGCCCAAGTCAAGTAAGGAGCACAAGTCCGCAAAAAAGGGCTCCTCTAAGTCCCTAAGGCGGCAAAGAAGGGGAAGGTAGCAGTGTCTGCACTGGGTGATGCCCCTAAAGTGCCCCCTGCTCCAACGGCAGTATTGGCATTGGAGGCCTATGCCACTCCGCCGATACCAACCATTCAACTCTTGGACTCCCCTATACAACAACTCGAGCGTCCTTACACCGATATCGAGATGGTGAAGCTCCTTAGTCGCCCCATGGACGCAGAGCCTTCTCCTTCTCTCTCGTCGACATTGTCGGTGTCAGAGGCTCCCCTAGCAGCACGCAGCATCACCCTCCACGTTTGCTTATTGAACCTGTCAATATTGATGACCGAGTTTATAGGGACCGCTCTCAAAGGCAGACTAATGCTTTGTCTCTGAGACGTACCCGATCCAGAAGTTGATCCCCTCGAGTCTTTCTACCACCACCACCTCTGTCTTGGGATCAATGCCAACGGAGACATCTCTTCTGGGGGCTATCCACCGGAGGTATCTCTTATGGGGGCTATCCACCATCCATGCCATGGTTGACCCCGGCGGGCTATTCTGGGATCGTTACTTGACCCACTCTGCCCACAGATCAAGGTCGCCCTACAAATCTAGACCTTCAGCATCTCTATCTCGACCTCCAGCCAAGGATCCTTCCCAGCATAATCCAGAACTCTATCGTCCTCCCAACCCCCAAGTCGTACCACCAAAGATTTTAACCAGTCAAACTGAAGTCACTCCGGTTCAAATGCCAGATCAGGGCTCCTCTGATTCTGCAGAAGAGGATTCTGATACGGAGGCCTCTGAGGCTCACACCTCTTCTGACCACAAGTCTCCTAACCAAGCTGTCACAGATTATCTACCTATATCCCCATCTGACAATCTCACTTCCTATGCAGACCTCGTCAAAAGAATGGCCCATTCTCTAGGCCTCTCAGTCATACAACAACCACCACAGGCTACAGATGCCATCTTCAATATCGTGCAACTGGATACCTCCACTACCATAGCACTGCCCATGTCCACGGTCCTTTTACAAGCTGCAAAAGCACCATGGGAGAAGCCTTCATCAGCCCCAGTGTCAACAAGACGCCTGGACCACATGTATAGAGTCCAGGAGACCGGAGCCGAATTTTTATTCTCCCACCCTCAGCCAAACTCAATGGTTGTAACATCCTCGTCCAAGTCCAAACGAACACACTCTGCACCTTCTGACAGGGAAAGTAGAAAATCAGACG